CTTCTTTCTCAACTGTGGAGGACAGGGCTGGAGCGGGAGGGGTATACGCAGAACCAGATGGTAGTTCCGGAGCTGGGACAGACTGAGCTCCTTAAAGCCTTCCCCTCTGAAAATATTGGGTGCCTTTTGTCCCCCAGCATCCCTGACACTGAATTCATCTGCTACGGAAACAATGAGATGGGAACTGGACAGGATGTTCCAGAGTATGTGCAGGGGAGGAAAGGGCTACAGATCAAGGATGGCGAGGGAGGGAAGACAGAGGAAACAGCACACATCCGGTCTCCCTCAGTTCCTAGAAAACAACGACTTGACTTTCTAAGGGCCTCAGCTGGACCTGGTTACTACTTGAAGCAAGTCTTTCCTTAGTTGCCAGATGAGAAAAGGGACCAATCTTCAGGTCACATGCTTAGTAGACACTAGAGCTGGAATTGAAACCTTGCACTAGGAGAGGGGGAGCAGGGCTGGGAGAAGGCAGGGATGCAAATCTCTTGGCTCTCCCCATTTCCTGGCTTGAGTACAAAACATCACCACCACATCTGCTATTGCCCCTCCCACCGTCAAGTATGCCCAGCTGTGCCGGGGCCCAAGCTGCTTCCCACGAGTTTAACAGCCCAGTAGCTGGGAACTGTAGCTGGAGAGAGGGCAGAAGTGAGGGCCTCCTGAGGGATTCCCTGCTAAGGGCTCCCCAAAGAGCTGGCACAACTCTTTTTGTTATGAAAATCTCACAACAGTAAAGTTTCACCTTCTGTTCTGGCTGCTAGGCAGCTCAAGGCTAAAGATTGTGCCACACTGCAATGTGTAACTTTTCACTAGGTTTCTAGCATCTTTCTGTCCTCTACCTAAAGAAGAATGTGACAATTACATCACAGGAGTGTTGGCAGGATTATAAAGAAGAGACTTCACATCTTTCAGATGTGATAGGTGCTCAAAACACTGTCAGGAGGCATGAGACCAAATAATTTTTTTTTTCCTTTGGGGTTTGAACTTGGGACTTGCACTTGGAAAGCAAGCACTCTACTGCCTGAGCCACAAAACTCCAGTCCATTTTGCTCCGGTTATTTTGGTGATGGGTCTCACAAACTATTTGCCAGGGCTGGCCTCAAACCTCAGTCCTCCAGATCTCAGCCTCCCGAGTAGCTAGGATTACAGGAATGAGTACCAGTGCCAGGCAAGGCCAAGTAATTGGTTCAAAGTCACACAGCAATGAGGGTGTAAAAAATAGACTGATGTTCTGGTGCTCGTTCACAAATCTAGATGATAACCCTAACCCACTGTGAAAGCAGTGATACACAGTTGTCAGAATGTTGTCTAAGAACAAAATTCCATGGGGTTGTCACTTGGCAGACTTGCCTTGGGCCTCTGAGATGCTGGCTCCTCCACTACTCCCTAGGACCTCACCTTTCCCCTAGAGGGCAGTTCATTTTCCCTTGAGTTCCTGGACCCCAGAGAGGAGACCAGTGGTGGGCATCCATAGTGTAGATGGATGGAGGAATAAGGCTTTTTCTTTTCTTTGCAGTGCTGGGGATTGAATTCAAGGCCTCCATCAAGTGCTCTACCACTCTAGCCACATCCCCAGACCTTTTGCCAGATCTCACATTAACTTTGCCAGGGCTGGCTTCAAACCATGGTCCTCCTTACCTCTGCCTCTGGAATAGCTGGGATTACACAGATGTGCCTTTTTTTTTTTTTTTTTTTTGGTAATACTGGAATGTGAACTCCGGGCCTTATTCTGAGCCATGCCCTTTAATTATTTTTTTGGATAGGATCTCAAGCTATTCTTCAGATAGGATCTTGCCCCTGGACTGGCCTCAGAACAAGATCCTCCTACCTACACCTCTGAATAGCCAGGATTACAGTTATATACCACCACACACTGCTTGTTTATTGAGATGGGTCTCACTAACTTTTTGCCCAGGCTGGCTTCAAATGGTGACCCTCCAGATTTCAGCCTCCCAGCTAGTTGGGATTACAGGTGTGAGCCAGCCACTTCCCTTGGCCTTGCCTGGAAACCATCTTTGTAGAAGAGGGTGCAGCTTTAGAACATGAGGAAACTCTGATCAGTATCTTTTTTTTTTTTTTTTTGTGGTGGAACTGGGGTTTGAATTCAGGGCTTTGCACTTGCAAAGCCTCTGGTCCATTTTGCTCTTTGCTCTGGTTAATTTTGGAGATGGGGGGGTCTCGAGAACTATTTGCCTGGGTGGCCTCAAACTGTGATCCTCCCAATCTCAGCCTCCCAAGTAGTTAGGATTACAGGTCCAAGCCACCAGTGCCTGGGTATCAGTATCTGAAAAAAAGAAATTCCTAGCTTGGACCAGCCTCCCACACCCCAAAATCCTAGGAAGTGTGGGCAGGGTTGAGACCCCCTCATTTCTCTCACCTCTACTCACCCATCCTCATATTTGAATAGTTTCTTTAAAGTCACCCATTAACTTTCTACTTTCTGGAGGCCCACAACATAAGATGGGCAAACAGCAGGTTTGTTTTCATCTGTTTAGAGGCCTGAGATGAGGTAGTGACTTCTTAAGGCTGACGAATTGAGTTTACTTAGTTCAAGGCCGAGGAGTCCTAAAAAGTCTATACGTGCATTGGCACAGCCAAAGCCTGAGGGACAGTTTCGAGTTTCAGCTCCAACATTTCCCGTGTGCCAAAGCTACCTCACCCTTTCTTTTTTATTTTTCATTGCAGTGCTGGGGATCAAAAACAGGGGCTTGCTTGTGCATGCTAGGCAAGCACTCCACCACTGACAAAGTGTCTGCTATGTAGCACAGGCTGGCCTGAACTCCCAATCTTCCTGCATCTGCCTATCACCATTCCTGGCCCTCATTTTCTTTTTAACTTTAAATTTTAAAAGTAAAATCTCAACCTTGAGATTTAAAAAATAATAATAATTATATTGGGCTGGAGACTTGGCTCAACTGGGGTAGAGTGTTTGACTTGTAAGCACAAGGCCCTGAGTTCAAACTTCAGTACCATCCCCCCAATTTTTTTTTTCAAATATATGCCAGGCATCGGTGGTTCACGCCTGTAATACTAGCTACTCAGGAGGCAGAGATCAGGAGGATCACAGTTTGAATCCAGCCCTGGGCAAATAGTTCATTACACCCTATCTCAAACAAAAACAAAAACAAAACCATCATAAAAAAGGGCTGGTGGAGTGTCTCAAGGTGTAGGCCCTGAGTTCAAACTTCAGTACTACAAAAACAAATATATATGATCACATATATATATATATGTATGATCAAACATACAAAACAGTTATTCAGACACATTTAGCCTTTTTCCCATTCTATTCTTTCTTCATTTCAGCAGTTAAAAATTTTAAATAATTTATACTTCTATTTAATAATAAATATCTATATTTATACTTCCTATTCCCTTTAACAATTGAGTAAGTCTTATTCTTGATGTTAACAGAAAAGTTTTTAGTGTTTCACCGAAAGTCTTTAGTGTTTGGCCAAAATCTTTTTGGCCAAGTGCTGGTGACTCATGCCTGTAATGATCAGGAGGATCATGGTTCAGGGCCAGCCTAGGCAGTAAAGGCTCATGAGAGCCCCACCTCAATCAACAGCTGTTGTGTGCCTGTCATGCCAGCTATGCAGAAGGTTGAGATCAGAAGGATCCTGTTCCAGGCCTGCCCTGGCAAAATGTTTGCAAGACCCGGCAGAGCATCAACATAAGATAGGTGTGGTGGATGCACCTGTCATCCCAGCTACAGACAGAAGTGTAAATAGGAAGATGGCTGTTCAGGTCAGCCTGCAAAAAGCCAGACCCCAACTCCAAAATAACAGGAGCAAAAAGGGCTGGAGGCATGGCTCAAGCGGTAGAGCACCTACCCAGCAAGCACTAAGCTAAATTCAAACCCCACTATCGCCAAAAAGACAAAAATCTATTTTGCAAAATGCGGGCTACACTACCCCTTTTATTTGATCTTCTCTTCGGAAGGTAAACGACAACTATAAAGTGCCATCAGTTCATCCCAGGAAACCCTCAAGAGTTGTGAAACCAACCTACTACATTTTAAACACGAATAAAAGGAGACTCTCAGTTCTGAGAGTCTCAGTATAGGGAGTGTGTAGAAGCTCCAACCTCCTGCTCAGGAAGAAGTTTGGGGCCAGCATACATCTGAGACTATAAAACAAACAAACAAACGAAAAAGCACAAAAGGCTGGCGCTGGTGGCTCAGTCCTGCAATCCTAGCTACTTGGGAGGCTGAGATCAGGAAGATCGTGGTTCGAGGCCAGCCCTGGCAAATAGTTTGAGGGACCCCCATCTCCAAAATAACCCGAGCAAAAATGGACTGGCGATGTGTCTCAAGTAATAGCGTGTCTGCTTTGCAAGCGGTGAAGCACTGAGTTCAAACCCCAAACCCACACACAAAAAAATTGTACCTAGCATATAGATCCATACCTACTTTTTATACCTATTGATATGTTAGGGAAGGCTCCAAAAATGCCTAAGTGAGGGCTAGGGGCATGGCTCAAGTGGTCGACCACCTGTCTAGCAAGTGCAAGGCCCTGAGTTCAAACTCCAGTACCATCCCCCCAACCCCCAAATATATATATTATATATAAGTGCCAGTAGGTAGCCTGGGCTGTGGTCAGCGGGCCCGCCTCCACTCATGTAGGGAAGCTCCAGCACGGTTTGGAGGTGACGAAATCCCGGAAATGTGCGGAAGCACCCAGTGGGGTGGTTTGGTTGCGAAGATACGGACCGTTTAGTTAAAAGCTTCCGTACTGCGCTCAAGAGAGGACCAACATCCTCGGGATCGCAGACCCGCGAGGATTCAGACGGGTGAGGAAGCCGCTCGTGAGTTTTCGAAAGGAGAAACGGTCCTGATGAGGACCCGTAGGGCTTCTTCCCTAACACCTCGCGTTAGGAAGAGCTAGATTGGCGAAAGCCCTCCCGGAAGTTGAGGGAGGAGAAAAGGAAATGACGCATAGGAGCGCCAAAAGGGGTGGGACTAGGGTATTGTCCCCGCCCACGTAGGTAAGGACTAACGGTTTCCGGTGGTGGTCTCCTGGAGGGGCGGGGAAAAGGGCGTGAAGCTGTTTTAGGTGAACCCCTGGCTCCTCACCCTGCAACGCCGCACCACTGCAGTAACCCCAAGATGATGGGTTATGGGGAGTCAGAGGTGGAGACCGTGGAAGGCGAAGAAGCCGTGGCGGCTCCCGGACCACCCCCAGAACCCCGAGCCCCAGAACCCCGAGCTCCAGTGCCCGAGCCCGGCCTAGACCTGAGCCTGAGCCCGCAGCCCGAGAGCCCAGAGCTGCGGAACAGCAGCCCTGGGCGGAGGAAGGGGCGAGCGGAGCGGCGGGGCGGGACCCGGAGGGGGCGGCAGGTGAGGTGGGGCAAGGTCTGGCTTCGGTACCCAAATGGCCCAGCGCACAGCTGCTCACTGCCCGGTTCTTTGCTCCCAGGTCCGTTTCCACCTAGCGCCGCGCTCCCCTGTCCGGCCCGAGCCACTGCCGGCGGCCGCTGCCCTGAGTGATCAGCTCGCGGAGCCGCAGGAGCTGGAGACGCCCGCGCAGCAGAGCAGCTTGGCCTTGAGCCTCGAGCTGCAAGCCGCGCGGGCCGCAGCCGCGGGCCAGTTTGATGCGGCGAAGGCCGTGGAGGAGCAGCTGAGAAAGTCGTTCCAGACCCGCTGCGGCCTGGAGGAGAGCGTGACCGAGGGTGAGGGGGGCAAGCGGCCGGCCGGGCGCGGAGGTCGGGGTGAAGGGCGCCGCTCACCCTCTTTCCTCCTGCGCTCTCAGGACTGAACGTGCCGCGCTCTAAGCGGCTCTTCCGGGACCTGGTGAGCCTGCAGGTGCCGGAGGAACAGGTTCTGAATGCCGCGCTGCGGGAGAAGTTGGCGCTGCTGCCTCCGCCGCAGCTCCGAGCTCCGCCCCCCAAGGTGAAGGGACCAGGGCTTGGGGCTTCCTTGTGTCCCCTGCTTTCCCTGGTCGCGGATTCTTCTATTTCCCAAAGCGTAACTTTGCTTTGGGGTCCAACTCCCAACAGGAGCCATCTGGACCGGGGCCAGACATGACCATCCTGTGCGATCCAGGCACGCTATGTTACGAAACACCTCACCTGATCCTGGATGGGCTGCCCCCTCTCCGGCTTCAGCCCCGGCACCGCCCTTCGGAGGATACTTTCCTTATGCATCGGACACTGAGGCGGTGGGAAGCGTAGACCTCAGAGCTCTCTGGATTGCTAGTTTACATTTGTATGTTAAAACTGTTTTTCAAAATAAAGTGGTTTTGGTAACTCATGGGACTCTTCTTGGGAACCAAGACTGGGCTAACACTCCAGGATTTTTTGTCCTCTTAGCCACAGGTTGGAGGCTGCCTGGAGGTGAATTTTTTGGGCCAAATTTATTCTTGGCAACTTGGTGTAGTGATGGCAAGTGTTAAGGGCTGTCCAAGTTGGGGCGGGGTGTGTGGGGGGGGACGACGTAGGTACACTACCCTCCAATTGCCACAACCACCGCCTTTTCGGTTTGATGGCACTAGCTCATTCTTTTGCACTGCTTATTTTGGTCATTTAAAATGTGGATCTATCCAGGCACAGTAGTGTGTACCCCTGGTCCCAGCTACTTGGGAGGTAGAGATTGGATGAGTTTGAAGCCAGCCTTGGCAAAAAAAAAAAGAGAGACCCCATCTCATGGTCCACATCTGTAACACCAGCTCCAGAGGATGACAGTCTTGAGGCCTTGTTGTCCCCTTCCCCTCCTTCCCCCCAAAAAAAGACACCCTACCTGGAAAATAAAAAGGCTGCAGGTGTGGCTCAAGTGGTAGAGCACTTGCAAGGGAGAGGCTGAGTTTAAACCCCAGTACTACTCGCCAAAAAAAGTGGGTCTCAGCCCATTGTGATGGCACATATCTGTAATCTTGGAGGGTAAGTTAAAAGCCAACTAGCTTGAGCAACAGCAAGACCCGGTTTCAAATAAACCAAAACTAAAAATGTGGGTGTTGGGCTGGGGTTGGTGTAGCTCAGTGATAGCATGTGCTTAGCATGCGAAAGGCCCTGGGTTTGATACCCAGCACACAAAGCCCTTCAGACTTCTGCTTTGCCCCACCGATATATACCATTTTGTGTATCCACTAAAACTTTTTTCAGTACTGGGGCTTGAACACAGGGCCTTCACCTTGAGCTACTCCACCAGTCTTTTTTTTTTGAAGGGTATTTTCAATAGGGTCTCTCGAACTGTTTGCCTGGACTGGCTTTGAACCATGATCCATCTCCTATCTCCTGAGTAGCTAGGATTACAAGTGTGAGCCACTGGCACCCTTTCCCAATGTGGGTTTTAGCCTATTACACCTTTGGAGGCTTTCCATGATTACTTGTCTCTAGAAGCCAGCAAGGCAGGTGCTTGAACTGGGTTATTGAAATTACCTGCTTGCTTTTACCTTTAAGCTCTTGCCCATCTTTACAGTTGAACTAAGAGTGCTCAGTATTTGTTGAATGAATGTCCAAGGTTCCCAGTAACCTTAACAAACCACTGTAGAGTTTCATGCTGCTAAACGCCTGTTAATATGATTCCTTAGCACAAAAAGGATGAGTATGGGTCCTGGAACAGTTTGATGGCTCTGGGTCAAAGTACTTTTTAAAATTTTTTTAGCTCCACTTCAACTCCACTGTTAAGGCTTCCAAAGTCAGCCTTTAGCCCCAATCTCCCACCAAAAGAAAAAAAAAATGTTTTGGGGGAGGGAAGTTGAACTTGTACATCTAAATTTGGACTACACAGGTTGGAGATGTGGCTCAAGTAGTAGAGCCCTTGCCAACCATGCACAAGGCCCTGGGCTCAAATTCCCAGTACCACCGATTTTTCTTTTTTTTTTTTTAACATCACCTTTGCTGACTAGTGTTCTGTTCATCCACATGTAGATTTGACAAGCAGTCTTCCTAACCACTGAAAAACCTGCCCTCTTCTTGAGACTCTAAGACAGGCACAGGTATCATACTTTCCCAACTAGAAAGTGTCAGACACAGGTATGGGGGCCACTGCCCTAGGTATCAAGTTTATTGTGCTGTTCTCACATTCCAAACCCAGTCCCCTCTCCCTCTGGGGGACAGCAGCAGGGAGGATTTTCATAATACCTGTGTGCCTCCCTGCCAAGCTTCCCCCTCTAACCCTTAGTCCATCTATCTGTGGTCCACTGAAATGCAGCTAGGAACAAAGACCGAGAAAGTGGGGATCTTTGTGGGAGAACAGGAGGAAGGGGCTAGAGAATTCAACACTCCCCACTTCCTATGTCCTAGGAGAACTGAGGTCAGCAAACAGTCCATGCTATCCAGCAGGCTGGGGGAGAGGAAGATGATGTTAACTCCCGCACAGCTGGGCTTGCTGCTCAGGTGCAGGAGGTGTAGGAAGGAGGCTGGGGCAGCAACTTAAGAAAGCCTTCTTCGCTGATCCAAGAAAGGAAACTTTTTGGAGCCAGAAAATAAAGACCTTGGGATACTTTCCTCTTCCCCCAGATCTTCAGGAGCAGCAAGGGCAGCCTCTTCATGTTTTCTGTTCAGGGAGCCACTTAGTGGCTGGGGGAGCGGGCCTTGTGAAACAGGTACACAGGACGCTGGAAGCCTGAAGGGTGAGTTTTGAGTTAGGAGGCAGGTTGGCAGGATCTCAGGACTCTCCACCCTCCCATCCAGGACCCCCTCCCCCAACAAAATGGGCCAACCTTACCTTTGGAGGTGTTGTGAGGTGTGGCCACAAGCTCATAGCTGGAGAAGCCCACCTCTGGGGATGTCAGGTAGGAGCTAAACTGTTCTGGCTTCAGCTGGATTCGATAATAGTTCTTGTAGATTGTTTCCTGGGGAGAAAGGCAGGGGATCACTTCAGCTTACTACCTCTTCCCTGGTCAAGAAATGGCCACTTCGGGGGCCTCTTCCCCTGGCTCAAAAAGTCTTTCTGCTTCCTTGAAGCCTTTCTTGTCTCAACTAAAGGACTACTCCCCATTTCCACAGAAACCCAGCTCACCGTTAGAGTCTTTCTCTTGCCATAGGAGGACCATGGTTGGGGCTCCAGGACCAGGATGCCCCCAGGGCGTAGGTGTCTGTAGATTCTGCGGAACATGCGCTTCAGCCCCTCGTCTCCCCAGTTCAAGTGCACCCACTTGGTGAGGCTGAGGCAGAGCACCACATCATACTCAGGTGTTTGGGCCTCCACCAGCTCATCTCGATCCAGCACGTAGTTACCCTGAGGACAAGAATTGGGGGTGAGGTCAACAGATGTAAAGAACCACTGGCCTCACAACTGCTCTGCAGGCTCCGAGACAAAGTCCTACAGCCTCACTTCAGCCTATGGTCATAGTCTTTTCTGCAGCTCCTGAGACTATCCCCCAATGGCGGCCCCGTCTAATTTTTTCTTCTTCCTGGTGGTAAACCAAACAAATTTAGAAGGGATCCTGGGTAATTTTAAACTGAGCAAATTACCCACATTTCCTCAAGTGGAGTCGAACTGCAGCAGGAATGCTGGGTTGCCCCCAAGACCCTCTCCTGTGCTTATTTCCACCCAGGAAACCTCACAAACATGGGGCAGTGACTCGACATTATTCAGGGGACTTAGCCCAGGTCTCAAAGGAGACCCATGGGTCCTTTCCTGTAATGAGGGCTGGCAATATGTAAGGCCTAATCTTTCCTTTCTCCTCAAGAAATCAAGAGCCACATCCCTTAGGAAACCTTTTCTAGAAGATAATCTCATCACTACCCTCTTCAAAGTCCTTTCTTCAGACAGAAGAAAAAAAATGTTTGCCACTTCCAATCCAGCAGCAAACATTCCTGCAACCCGCCTAACGACAGTTTAATGGGAAGCTACGTGCAGTGCAGTTGGTGACAATGCTTTGCCAGGCTTGATACTCTCCCCTTCCTGCAGCAGTCTGACTGTCCCCCTCCCACCATCTAGGTTCAACATGGAGAAGGCCTAAAGCCAAGCCACTTGGGCTCTGAGCATTGACTCTTCAACTCTGTATCTAGGGAAACAAAAGTAGCTGATGGAAACAAGGTCCCTATTGAAGGACAGAAACTGAAGTATTAGTCTGCCACAACCCTAGTCTACCCTACCCCTCACCCAAGACATTCCCTGACACTGAACCTCATGCTTCTTCCTCAGCAGATCTGGAACACAAGGTTCCATCTGGACTGAATCCCTTAGTGAATGGCAACAGCCACCCTCAAGAACTGGTAGGGATTATAGTCCAGGTCAAGAGCAGGCAACAGGAGTCAGCCTTTACCTAGGGGAAAGAGATCCTTGTAGTCATGAAAAAGAACCCAGGGGTTAAAACTCCAAGGTAGTTATCCCACCTTTTCAGATTACGGGAGGGGAGACACACCAAGCAGAGGTTCTCATTCAACAATCCAGACCCTTCTTTGTAGTAGATGGTTTTCCCAGTGAGGAGTGGATGCAAGGAAATGTCTGTGGGTCCTGACCTTTCTCCATCATCATCCCAATTAATCTCAATCTTCATACCTGGCCCCTATTCCAAGAGCCTTCAGACCCTCTTACCGTTACGAAGACAACATTGTTGGGGAAGACAGATGTGTCCGCTCCATCCAAGGGCACTTGGGGTGCAGCGATGGGACCCCGGCTGGCTGTCAGTGAGGCTGGGAAGCAGCTTCTTTTTCGGATGATGGCAGTCCCTTCCTCACCCTCTGCCCCTGCATCCCCCTCAGAAGTCTGGGGTGGGAGACGCAGCTCCTCAGATAGGTAGTGTCGGATATTTTGGCGGGCAGAGTGGATGAGCCGGGCATCAATATCCAGCCCCACCATGCGGGATGGGCCCCACTTGCAGGCGATGCTTAGGGTCAGGTGGCCCACATTGCAGCCCAGATCTAGGACGTCCCGGCCCTGAAACCACTCAGGCTTCAAAACCCGAAGGCGCCCATCCTCACAGGAAGGATTGCGGTACCCATAGTACTTGCAATAATTCCCATACTGGAACTTGCGCTGTTGCTTTTTGAAGCCTGCTGCAGGTATCGGGTGGTGACGGCCTCCCCCACTCCCTCGGCCCTTTTCCTTGGAACCCTGGCCTCCACCCCTAGCCCCTGCCTCTGATTTGCTGGAAGTCCTGCGACGTTTGCGATGTCTGGAGGAAGACGAGGATGCAGAGGTAACTGAGGCAGCTGGAGGGGCTGAAAGGGAGCCTGAGGGACCCTGCAAGGCAGATGGAAGGGGAGACACGACCTCATCCCTGCAGTTGATGGCTGTGTTGAGTTCATAGGGTTGGGGGGCATCCCGGTTCTGGCCCCTGTGCCGCTGCT